GTACTTATATATTTATATATATATATATATATATATATATATATGACACGTGTAATCTACTAACCTATTGTGCTGATTATTTATTTTTTCATTTGAGGTGCATTACAGCTGAATCAGTAAATACTTGCCCCTTTAAAAGTCTCCATCACAAACTGTTCTATGATCATTAAGAATACATTTGACAAAACTGATATTAGTAACTTTTCTTTAAAGTTTTACAGGCACTTAAGGTAAGAGAACACTTTATTTGCACTTAATGCCAAAAGTATGATAACATATTGGAAAATGACTTGTATTCAGTGCTCCAGATATAAAATGAGTATTTTACACTTTGAAATAAACTACAATACTGACATTTTTTATATTTTTTGGGTTCAATGACCTTTTTTTCATCATCAAACACCTGAAATTTTTATGTGTACTGGGCACTTGCATTTCTTATCTCTGTATTTGTAAATATTTTATTAAGGACCAACAGAGGCACTTGCATGATAAGTTCAGTATTGTAAGTACTTTGTTGATATTAATTGATAAAATTAGATTTGTATAATTTTCAGTTCAGTAGCAACTTTGAATTACAGGTAATTGCCACTGGTTAATTATCTCAATATGATTCATTTGTGAATCTTTCTTTTCCCAACTAAAAACTTATAATTTCAGTTAAGAAAAGAAAGAAAACTTGAATGATGTACAGGTATAATCTGTTACTCAATATGCTATTCCATCTACAGTAGAAAAACGTGTTCCTGAACTATTACTCTTAAGTATTGCTTGGGAGAGCAAACCAAATAGATACAGTAGGCCTCCATATAGTGATGGAATGCAAACAGTTTGTAGGATTTGATGTAAAGGACTTTACATCAATTATTATATAACTTGTTAATCAGTTTATGGTGAGAATGATCTCCTATGCTTTGTGTTTGTTTTGTTACCAATATAGAGTTTTGTTTCATTTGAATGGTATACATATTGGTAAATTGTATTTGAACTTGGTATGCACAAATTTTATTTGTACTGCATTTTGATTTCCAAAAAAATGTACTTATGCAGATACACATCTTATCTAGAGCATTAAAATACTTGTAGAACATTACTTGAATAGGCAAACTTGAAAATATGAACTTTGCTTGGCCTTAATGCTGACACAGTGAATCTGAATGGCCTAATGTTTGCTTGACATGAACACATTTATAAAATTATAAATGAAGAATAGAAGAGAATGCTTAAGTAGTTAGTTTAAAATATCATAAGTTCTCACATTAAAAAAAAATAACCTAATGACTTTTCTTTCAAAATATTTTCTATGGCTTTGATATTGCACTTAAGACTTCAGTTAAAAGACATATTTATTTATTTTTTATTTAGTTGTTATGTACATCTTGTAATTACCAAACCAATGTTGTGCAATATTAAAGTATTTTTATATTTACATCCCAGGTTATGGTTTACATTAAAAGTAATACTTGCTATGGTAATCTGCAATTTGTTTATCTTTAGAAGTAAATGTTGTGTACTTTTTAAACCAACCTGACAAAACCTCATTTATATTGCTGTATATGCTAAAGTTGTGCACAAAACCTAAATAATTTAATCAAGGCAAAATAATGGACATTTGGTAGGAAGATTACAATGCTAAGGAAGTGATTTACTGCATAAGATCTGAATGTTGGTTTTTCCTCAGAACTCCAATTAGACACTTTGAAAGTTTAGTGAAAGTTTCATATTTCTAAGTCATTTACAGGTATTGTAGCATTATTAAAAGGATGTTATCTATTAAAACTGGGATGTAAAGTAAATTGTATTGCAATGTAACTTATTATGAGATACACTGTTACCAATAATGGTGGACTTTTTACAAGTTTGATCCATTCTAATCTTTAAACCATAAGCAATAACGCTACATGAATCTTGTGAATAGAAAAACTACAGGAATATTTGATATGGTGTTAAAAATCATTAGTAAGTAGATACTAAAAGAGTTCACATGGAGCAAAAAAAAACACTAAATCTAGTTTTGACGAGGAGAAGAACTTATAAATTATATTGTTGTTTATGAAACTGTTGGGAGATTTCAATTAAAATGTCTGACACTAATGAGATGTATTTAAAATATCATGAAGGACTTGAGCATGGTCTTTTTGGGAGGAGATGTTTTTTGGATGAGAGAATCTGTTTATTTCATTAAATGGGATATATTTAGGCAGAATTTTAGCCAGTTGTTAGATAAAACTGATATTATGAACAATATTGTGTTAATTCAAAAGAACACGGGCAATCTTGATAAGTGACTAAGAACTTCAGAACTATGTTTCAATACTGTGAAATGTAAAATGATTCACATTGAGTATGAATTAACACTTAGAAAAAATAAGTTTTTGTGTTCAAAGTATTGCTTAAAAAAAGGAAGTAAATTTATTAATTTCATGTGTGTTTTTGACTATTACTGTTTTTGATTATTTCAACTATCTAAGTAATTGAAATACTACCATTATGGTTTCTCATTATTATTGATTAATTCAAGGTTGTTTAGCTTAATCGATTAGTGTTACAATTCATGAAAATAGTCAACTAATTGAAATTAGTGTTTCTGATTATTGCTATTTTAAATTATTACAACTATTTGAGTCTCACTTGAGGTTAAACAATATATATGAACTTAATGATTAATTGATTACCAAATTCCACTTATCATTCAGTTCTAATATAAAAATGTACTAGAAGAGCATTGCTTATTATTGGTAATCTTGACATTAGGCTATCTATGCACATGGTATTGTGATCCTGTGTCATTTCTTTGCCTTACTGAATGGTGCAGCTTAGTTATTTGTGTTTGTAATAATTCAGTGAAGCACTTCATAATGCGGATGTGTCACGTTAATTCATATAGATTCAGACCTGAAAAGAAATGTAAATCAATAATGCATCTTTATACTTGTACACACACAATGATATGATAAGTAACCATCCTTGTATATTGATGCTCGTTGTAGGGTCGGCCATTCATTCTGGTTGAACACGATGTTTCAATGGACGATGTTGGAGAAGTGTTGCATAAGGAATGGAAACTTTGTAGTCCTCGGATTGTTTTGGTCCTAGTTTCTAATGTGAAACCTCTCATTGGTTGGAAGAATACTAGGAAACTTAATAATTTTCTGAAGGGTTTAGTCACAGTAAGTTTAGCCTAATACTATTTATTTGACTAGCTGTATTATGTATACAGTACTTCATCATCCTATGGCAGAAATAGACCTCAAATTATGATCGTTTTAGTTGTTAGTAAAATAGACAGCAAGTAAGAACATGTACCTTTTCAGTTAGTTTACAGAACACATCTTTGACAGAAATGTTAAATTAAAAATATACATTAACTCAAAGAAATATGCATTTTGCATGTCCTTGAAAAACACTGAGCTTTCAATACTTTATAATTTACTACTATAGAAATTTGACATTACCTAAAATATGTTTTCTAATAAGCCATATAAAATTTTTACTAAAACTTTAACACTGTTGATAATTTAGCTGCAAAGTACTTTATTATTTTCCAATTTTTCTTGGATTGAATGATAGTAAAAAACATCTATAAGCTGAGTTAATGTGCATAACACTGATGAAGAGAGAACTTGCATGTAACAGGCTAACAACCATGTGACTGTTTATTGTAAAATACAGATATGAAATTTTGTGATTGTAATGTTTGTGTGCATCTATTTTGTAAAGGTTTGGCTTTATAATGTGTAAATGGAGAAGATTTTGAACTTTGTGTGTATTAATGTTTTATGTTTGGGAAATAATTGTCTTTTATTGTTTTTCAAAAAGTTGTTAAATATATTTATGAATTATATACTTGAATGATTGCAAAAGGTTAGTTTCAAATCAGATACTCTTACTGCTGAAATACTGTAGGCTTTATCTTGTCAAGCTTGCACTCATGCTATCAACAAAAAATTAATAAAAAATTCTGAATATCTTTCACATGAATTATTGTATTTTTTTGGGGATTTTACATAAGTTCTGTTTTCCTCCCATAATTCAGATTTTTCTTGGTGATAGTTATGCTGTTAACTTTGCTACAGTGAATTCAGAATACCTGAAGGTGTATTTTCTTTTATTTCTCACAGGTAAGAGATGAGCAGACATTTTTGTCATTGATGCATTACATACTTTTTGTCAAGGAAGGCTCTCTATTTAGACCCTACTAGTCTTCCTACCCTCTTTAGCTTTGATATTTGCTGCCTGTGATTGTTTTCTAAGCCAGATGAGTTATTTTTTATTCTGCCCAACACCTATGTTAACTATTTCCAGGGTGTTTTGGATCCTAAAATTAAGAACACTAATAATAAATGCAGTCTCTTCTTAAGAGATTCTGTATTTATATTGATCTGTTAAGTCAAGACTCATGTTTTTTTAACTTCTGTGTTTCTCCTAGACATAATTCCATTCTCTGCACTGCATTCTCTGGAAAGTAGACATAGGGTACCATCTGGCAGCTGATGATGATGTCTTGGTGGGTAACTTTACTACATCTACCTGCACATTCTAGTATGGCATTAGAGATACTCGGGATGGGAGACTTGTTCTCAGTAAATGTTTTCAGCTCCATTGAGTATGGGAATCATCTATGTTTTCTTTTTTTTGATGTTCCTACTGTTATGGGTGATTTTAATTTCAGGCATATAAATTGGGAGTCAAACCATGAGGGAGAAAGGTTTTGTAAACTATTCAAGGTGGTTTTCTTCACCAACTAGTCTAGGAACCTACTAGAAACAATGCTAATTTAGATTTATTGTTAATTTCTTATACAGAAATAGTTGAGAGGGTGGGAAATGGGGAGGTCATCTGGATACAAGAGATCATTTCTCTATTAAAGTTGATATTTTGCTGCCTATGGAGATCATGAATAATGATATTTTGGTTACAAATTTCAAAAAAGCAAATTTTGAAGGAATGTGACAAGAATTATCTGTTGTGAATTAGGCAGCTGAGTTATTTGGAGACACTGATCAAATGTGGAAAATTTTAAAAATAAATTTTAAATACTCAAGATAAACCCATTCCTTATTGAAAGAAAAGCATGGCTGCAAGTAAAAACAAAAACAGGTTGGCTCACAAAGAGTATAAGAGATAAAATTATAGAAGAGCATCATAGATTTAAGAAATATAAATTGACTGGTATGACAGGAAAGTTCAAAGATTATAGAAGATCAAGAAAGTTGGTGAAACAGGAAATTAGGACAATGAGAAAAGGTTGGTTAATAATGTAAAAGTTAACAATAAGGATTTCTTTAAATACATTAAGGGTAAACAAAATGTTAGGATGAGGATAAATTGTGTTGCCCTCCTATTGGTGAAGGGCTATCATCATGTTATGTCAATGTGCAGTAGTGTAGTGCATATGAAACACTTGATTTTTTAGGTAGGAGTTAACTCAAGACTAGTGCATACAAATCTCATAGACAGATGCATAAGGGATTAAGCTATTCTGTGTAAAGAGGTGAGTATTTATTGGAAATACATTTTCAGGTATGGAAAATGTTAACTTCTAATTATTACTGTAATTAAAATACTCCTATTATGTTTGTTTGTTTGCTCAGCACAAAGCTACATAATGGGTTATTGGTACTCTACACAGTTGTAGCTTTATAAGTTGTTTTTTTTACTTCAAGTTTGCTCAGCTTTGGTGATTCAAGGAGGAGGGGTCATGATTCGAGGGTCACAGGTTTTATTCCCATTGGCACCAAACAGTTTGCTTGCTCTGTCTTTGCTATAGCACAGCTACTAATGCTATCTGCCATTCTCACCTATTTTGAATTGCTGAAATTAAAAGGAAGACAATTGTCTGGCAGCACTCACTGTCAAATTTGTTTTTTACATATATTTTTCTTTTTTGAAGAACTGACTAATATCAACTACTTCCAACTTTTTTTTTTGCATGGACATATTGTGATTTGAGAAACACTCTACTGATGGATTGATGGGACCAATACCACTAATTGCTCAGGTCTGTGTTTTGGTTTTGACTTTCTGTAAGGCTAATCCACTCCACTTGATCCACTTTGAATCCAGTTTTTAAAAGTTTTGAAATCTGATTGTGGATTTTATTCTTCATTGTATTAGGTCATCAAAAAATAATGTGGTGGATGGGGGAGAACTTCCCAACCCAACTCCATAATCTTGTGTTGCGTTAAACGTGCCACATATGGATGTGCATTGTCTTGGAGAAGAAGAACACCTTTCCGATTGACGAGTGAAGGGCGTTTCTGATGAAGGGCTTGATTTAAATGTTCCTGTTGCTGACTGTAGATCTCTGCATTGACAATTCGTTGTGGATTGAGGAGTTCAAAATGAATTACTCCTTTGATGTCCCACCAAATGGAAAGCATTACTTTCTGCGGATGGAGTCCAGATTTTGGGGTTGGAAGTAGTTTTAGTTTAGGACTGAGCCGTTGTTTTTGGGGTTTAATATTTGCATAGAGACGTTTAGTTGGTTTGTTTAACTATTATACGTGATGTACATTTTTTGGGGGGTGGTTAATGAAAGTGTTCCAAAACGTGACATTAATTTCTTGATGACCTAATAGTCTAGAATATCACCTTCCTGCCCTGTAAACTCAAACTTTACAACTTTTCTGTATCATTTTTATTCTCACTGGTTCTCACTTCCTTTTCAATGTGGGTATTATGGCTTCCATTATTTCAGAAGTAAGTATTTGTTTCAAATTCATTTTAATTATAAAAATTTTAATATTTTATCAGGTAGTCTTACTTCTGAAATACTTTCACCCTACCTCTCCACAACAAGGTTTTTGTCAAGACTGCTACTATCAATAAAACCTTAATTATGGCAGGAAAGCAGCATTCATGTATAATTCCCTGAAATATGCACAATAAGTCACATGGAAGGTGGGAGAATGGTTAAGTGACACACGCTCTGCATTACATAAAGGACATTCAACATTCTTGAGTCACATGTTTTGTTGAGAGCACGAGTGCGGATTCAACCTGGAAAGGCTTACAATATTTCAAAAGTACCTATTTGAAATTCATTTTAATTCTAAAAATGTAAAACTTTATCTCTGTATTTTTGCTGTGTAGTACAATTTGTGTGCTCTCAGTCTTTGCTCAGGTGTCATGCAAAAGTAATAAGTAATTATAACTTTGATGAAAGTTAAAAAATGGATGGAAATTAACATGTTGGTTGGAAACAGAGGATGATAATAGATGGAAATTTTGTCCAATGGAGAATGTAATTAGTGATTTGGACAGCTACTCAGTTGGACAGTAATATTTCATAATTATCTAATGATATCAAAATGAAAATACTTATTACGTAAGAATTTTTCCAGAATTCAGGACCTGAATAGTTTTAGCAAGTTGGCAAATCTTTGGAAATTGAATTTCAATATTTCACTAACAATTTGGCCTCAGTTAAAATCTGTAACTCTGCTTATTTTTTATAATGAAATTTAAAAACATTTGTTAGCCCCTCAAGTTTCTTGGTCCACCTTTTAAAAGTGCTTGGGTTATAGGGTTTTTATCATTTTGTATCAAGAATTCTTGAACCTACGTGTTTTTATTTTACGTCATGAATGTTATCTAATGTGTATGTGTTAAAGAATAGTGCTGAGAGTGTTTATTCATCAAAAAATGGCACATTAAAACTAGTGCCTGATATTTTAGATGAAGAAACAATTCTGATATTTACAATTAATCACATAAAACTAAGTAACACTGTGGACATTAATTCTCATTATATTTTAGAATATATATATATATAGAAACTATTGTTGATTTGAAGACATTGTTTTAGTACTATTCAGTCTGTATGGTGCTTAAGAAAATTATTCATGGTATAAAAGCTAAATAATATTATTGTCAGTCATGGAAGTTTAAAGTTAAAAAGTACAAAAGCTATAGATTTTAAAGTAAAAAGTTAATAAATTGGATTAATGTTTTTCTTAGAAAAAATATCTGTGCAGAGCATTAAAATTTGCTTGTAAAAGTATAATCTTGGTCAATTGTTATAAATTTGACATAAGTGTCTCACAAACTAGTAAGTGATAGGGAAGTTGGAACTTCTTATATGAGGATTAGAATGTATTCTTTTCATCATTGTTAGAATGAAAATAATCCACCAAGTGTTATGCTTCTTGAAAATTATCTTTCTTGTAATTGAGTTGACAACTCAATAGTTGTGCAGTTGTTTTGTTATGGACTTGTAAAAACTATACTGAAAGTTGTATTCAGTTACGTTTAATTCACAAATTCTAGTGAATTACTTTACTCAAAAGGAAATGGTTCTCATTATTTGCTTCAGTATAAATAGTGGAGAACCATGTTTTTTCCAGGCAGCAAATACAACAAACATGTGGATTATGACTCATGGAGCCAACATAGGAATAGTCAAAGCTGTTGGAGATGCTCTTCATGAAGAAACTCTTCATCGTCAATCCTTATTCTGTCATAAGCATCCTAATCTGTCTGTTCCTATTCCAACACCTCTAACAGTCATTGGTGTTATTAGGGAAGACATGGTTGATTATGCAGAGATCCTTAATGAGGTGACTAAAATATCTTAAGTTTAATCCTGCATTTGAAATGCCATAGGGACTGAGCTATATAACTTAAACAAGGAATTGGCTTAAGTTTGATTTTAATAGTAGTATTATTAACATTACAAAACATTTATTCTAAATTCTAGTGAGTCTGTAGAGTCTTAGGTTTGAGTTTTTACTTAAACATGTGTAATCCTACAGGTATATTTAATAAAGGCTCAATTGTATCTTGAGATACTGTTTGAAGTTTTAGTATAAACTTCTGTGATATTGGTGGAATTCATTTAAGATTTAGCTATGACATTTACAGATGCAATACTTTGGATGTATGGTTAACCTTCACTTATAACCTAAATCTTTGTAATATTTTGTTTATAACTTAACTTTTTTTTAGTATTGCAAAGACTTGGCTGAACTTCAGCTGATATCCTAACACCTATGATACTTGACGAATTTAAATAAGCTTTAAAATTGAACCATAATTTCTCTGATTTTAGTTGCAACTCCATGTAATTTTATGTACAATTGCAGTGCAAATTTTTTTTAATAGTTCTTGTCTTTGCTTGAATTCCATAAGTTTGTTATAGCCTGCAAAAACTAAATTTAATTAATTTGGGCTTAAAAGAAAATATGGTATTATGTGGCTTCAAGATTGGTCCAGAACACTAAGTTTTTTCTGTAGGAAATACTACACCCACAAAATATTTTTTTTTATCCACCCTTACACTAATAGCCATATGAACATTTCACTAAGAAATTTATTAAGATATAAGTCAGGTTTAAGCTAGCTTACTTGTATTTATATAGAAAATAAAAATATTGATTTTTCTATGCATACTGTATAATCTGTTTAATACTTATTTAAGAAATGGGGTAGAACTAATTTAGTGTAAGAACTCAACAAGAATAAAAAGGGTAAACTTTTACTCACTGGTAATAATCTGAGTTCCTTTTTTTTCTCTTACATGTAGTTTGATTGAAAATAATATTACATTTAGAATGTTTCTAAACAGGAAATTGAATAGTATATCAGTATGGTTAAGATATATAGTAGTGTAGCTAAGATTATAATGGCAGGAAATCCTTGTTAGTAATACTGTAAGAAATGAAGTGGTAGAAATCACCCTTGCTTTACTTCCTTGTGTGCATAGTTAGGACGTGTGGAGATTGAGAATGATGGAAACCGACCAGAGGAAAACAAGTATGAGCTGAATCCAGACCATTCACATTTTATAGTTGTCAAGGATAAGAGTGTTGATAAAATAGGTGGCAACCACTTCTTGTATCGTTTAGAACAGTACATTGCTGACACTGAGGAGCTAAGAGAAGTGGAATTAGATGGAGATGCTGGTACAGTTGATTTATTTTTGTTTTAAATATATAAAAGTTATGAGTAATTTCTGAACAAAAATAAAGTTTTATTAATAAAAATGGTATACACATCTTCAGGTTTTAAGTATGGTTGGTGTAGGTAATTTTAAATACTACAACCAAATAACCATGGTACTAAGAAGTTTGAAAGTTTGTTTTGTACTATCATTAATGTTACTTAAAAGCTCTGTCTGAGCTGTATTCAAACCTTCTAGGTTATATATGTAATACTATTAGAAATGGCATAAATGATGCATGTAATGCATATTGTAATGATTTTGCCTTCTGTGCACGGGTACACCACTGATTTTGCGACACCCTTGGTTCCAGAGCCTTGCCAGATTATCTGTTTTGCCGGACCAACAGAGGTTATGTAATAATAATAATAATTCAACAATACACCTCTGACCCACTAATTATAACCCTCCCTTGTCTCTAAAGCACCATGGACTGCTAGAAACTTAAATAAAACAAATATTAAATGTACATTTAATGATTAATGAAATATATTAGTACAGGTATAAATGATACAAGTTTATTAGTACAGTATAAATGAAAAATGTTTATTAATTATTGTACTTACAAAGAATGTTGCAGTAGTATCGCTTCCAAAGTGGCAAATTTTAGAATTTTACTGGAATTGTAGAGCTAATCACAAAAGTCTAAGTTGAAAGTTGTCAGGATTACTACTAATATGTTAAACTACATAGTCTTGGCAACATTCATGAAAAAATTAAAGCAATTTGATTCACTAGTTTAATATTTCTAAGAAATTTTTCACGACAATGACGTACCTACCTAAAATGTAAGTAGCCCGTCTCAAAAGATTGCAGGCCACACGCAATGCCATCTGTGGCCGCCCAGTGAACTAGTATGGCAGTCGCGGGAATTTCAAGTGCACTCTCATAATTTTGTAGGGATTAAAGGAGGTGCTGGAAAATTGGTGGTGTACTATATTAGCTTTTAACATGAGTTTCTGTCAGTCACAGACAATTTTTATTAACATTTAAATTTAAAGCACATGTGATATTAATAATCCTTCATTTTTGTCATGTAAACTATGTTGTAATGTTTTTCAATTACAGCTTTCTTAACTGTTTAAATTTGTAGATTTAACAGAATTGCTATAAAGAACTTTAATATTTTAACAGTTGTTTGTTCAACTTTACGTGCATGTATGTGAACACATTCTCACATCTGTACCTTAAGCCTAACTCGCTGTCCATTTGTTTTTAATTCATTAATAAGAAAATTTAAATCTATAAAGTAGTGCTATTATAACAGGAATTGAGAGTCAAAAACCTTTGATACAAATAAAGAGTTTTGTGTACAGTAACTTAGTGATTATTAAAATAATAACTGTGTCATTTTATCTAAATACTTCGGAGTAGGCTGTCATATTGTATTTCTGTTCTACGAAGTATGTAGACAAGACCACAAATGTAGATTTTTCTTGATTTTAGTGATAAAGATTCTTTATAAAATGTTTTTTTTCTCACCCATACAGTACTTAGTTGTTAAAATTCAAAAGACCTTAGCCTTGCATGTGAAGCTATAAAGTAGAACTCACTAAGTGCATACAGACAGTTGATTTAGTGAAAAAGTTATGGTTTTTGGGCTATGTTGTGGATTTTATGTACATTGTGATTCATCAAGAATTTGTAGTTTTAGCCTATTATGTAGAAGCTTTAATGGTTGTGTATCATGTGTAATTATTCTTGTTATGATTTCAGTAATGACATTTGATTACAAGTTTCATGTGGAAGGCTCAGAGGTTCCTGTAATAGCAATTTTGGTGCAAGGAGGATATGACTGTGCACGTATTATCATGCAGCACTTAAAAAACCAGCTTCCTGTAATGGTGATCCAAGGAAGTGGAGGACTTGCTGACCTAATAGCCTACTCATACTTGGAACTTAAGCACAGGTTAGATACATTTTGATTACTGTTTCCACATAGTCTATATTTATAATCTATACACTTAATGTATAAATAGGTATTGTTAGTATAACATATATGATAACATATAATTACACAAAAACATCAGTAATATCTGATTTATGCATAACACTACTGTGCATTAAGTTATATTTAAAACTATAGTATAAATCTCTTCAAGGCTAATATATATATATATATACAATAGTAAATTTGTTATGAATACTTAGAACTTTTTAATAGGTTGATAATTATTAACTCCTGTTTACAAGTTGTTAAACGGTAAAAGTATGTCACGAAATTTTGAATAAGTAAAATCTCAAATGTGGTTTCAGCATGGGAGTTGGGAGCTTATATAAAAGTATGTCGCATAGGTTTCACAGGAAAAACAACTCTTGTATAAATCTTGGACATAAAATAATTCTTGCTTAAGCTAGGATATATGTAAATTTTGAAATATTTCAAGTTATCTTTATCATTGTACATAAATTTGGCTGTTAAAATTTAATTTTTAGGTTTACTCTGATTTAAATAGTCCACCTCTATTTCATGCAACCACAAACCAAGTATGTCACACATTTTTAGACTGTGGTCTTATATGATGAATTCTATCCCTTCATTGGTTTATTGGGTTATGTTGTATTAGCATCTGAGAGATACTGCCCTGGTGTACACCTAATTAAGAGAACAAGACTGTCAAGTGCATATTCATATTCTGACTGTCTCAACTGTACGATGAAAAGATGAGGTATCAACCTAATTTCGGTAGCAAGGGATTACCTGTAGTTTTTCATTTGTATCTTGTTCTTTTGGTTCTGGTGGAGAGTAGAAATATTTGTGTGATATCATGATGGAATTGTACCTCTTAAGTGGTAGCCTCATCCCCAAAATCAGAGTGTGAATATATTCCTGAACACATTTTTTATAATTTGTAATGAACGTATAATTCTTAATTGTTTGCTGTCCAGACATTACTCTCTCTTATACTAAGCACAGCTATCTGGAGCATCAAATAGTATTGTTTTTTTAAGGAATCATTTAACAGTAATTAAAGTTAACTGAAACACAGTAGTGTTTTTAATGTTTCACTAGATCTTTTCTTGATTTTTTAAGTTATTTCTTTTTTGTTCTAAATAAAGGTAAAAATCTTGCATGTACATAGTATCACCTTAGCTGTGTTTGACTTGAACTGTGCATTCCACGATGTATATTTTGAATTTACTTGTTAATACAATTAATACTATTAACTGTGATGTATTATTCTTTGTCTCTATTGTTTAATTGTAATAGTCTCAAAAATTTACTTACCTCATTAGCCTTCATTTGTGATGTTATATGACATGATTGTGGTGATATTCTAGGTAGTGAGATACCACTATATAACACACGTTTAGAAATCTGAGAGAGGTAATTAATGCTTGTGAACTTAGAAGTAGGTAACTAGTATTTTGTAAGAAGTTAGATAAAGATGATAAATATTACATATATGCCTTTAGAAAGTTGATGAAAATAGTTTCTATTTCCCACAGTAAGAGTAGTTATCATTGTCTGTTCTAATTCACATTTCACATGGACAAGATGGGACTAGTTAACAGTGTGTAATCATCTTTTAGAACTCAGGGAAGATGGGATCCAGAATTTGTAGAAAATTTCTTGAAGCCAGAAATTTCTACAAAAATTGCAGAAAACTTTCCAAGACTTAGAGAAAATAGCATAGCTAGAAATATCTTCAGAGACAGGATACTAGAATGTACACGGTATTCAAAACAAGTGAGTAGCAGATGTTTTGCTTCTAGAGAAGGCAACAGAATTTACTCAAATAGAGTATGATATCTCTTAGAGCTTATAAAAAAATATGATGAAATAAAATTGAGAATTGCTTTGCAACAACTATCATAAGTTTGTATGTGATAACAGACTACAATTTAGATTAAGGTTATCTTATTGTGTTTGTGTGCTATTATGTGAGGTTAGTCAGTAATGTGTATTATGAATAATTATCTGCTAAAATACTCCAAAAAATGAAAAAATTTTTAGTGCTAACTGAATGTTTATTTTATTTGTATTTGACTGTAATTTTCTCAATAAGTAAAAGTAAAACAGAAAACTGTGTGGGAATTTAACTTCTGTGATAAACAGCAAGAAGAAAAGAAACTAAAATTTCTAATAAAATCTTTTTTTTTAGGTGAAACTCTTGGATCTCTATTGGTTAATTCAGTAATTGTTTTATTTTTCAGAATGTTTATAATTTTTGCTTGTTTCTTTCTTGTTTAGTTATTTGCATCATAGAACACAAAAACAAACAAAGATTTTAAAGATCCATCATGTAAAGAAAAGTGAAATTATTTACCTCATTATTTCTATTCCATACTACCAATTCATTCAAAAGAATGCAAGGTAATTGCATAAAAAATTTAGTTATACAACAAAATCTGAAATTACTGTAGTATTTCTTCTCAAAGAACTGTGCACAAATTGTTTAAGTTCATGTTATAATCAGACAATTAATGTTTGGTTTAAATCTTTAATTTCCACCTGTATGAACTGGTTTAAGTGATATATATGAGTAAATTGTATTCTAAAGTATATAATGCTGTTAAAGACAGTTATTATGGGCACAGTATTTGTACCATGGATATGTTTTTCCCTTTTACTTTTTATTATTATTGTTGATGGTCTGACAATGTGCAATATTTAGCCAAATCAAGATTTCTATAAAAATAATAAAATGAATGTTCTACAATGGATAAGCAGTAAGTTTGCAAAGTTACAAAGCTAAAATCCAAGGTTTTATCCTTGCAGTGGACAGAGTGTATATAGCCCATTGTGCTAAAACAACAACAACATTAAAGTGAACTTTAATGAAGTGTACATTGTTTAAGAAAAAATATTATTTGATGTATTCTATACTTATCTTACATTTTCATATATAAGTATAATTTTACACGAGAGCTGTGTTTGTGTTTTTTTGCTTGTGTTTGTGGTTTATGGTAATTAAAACTAGTGAACTGTTTGTATCAGTATTTAGTGGTTATATCTAATCTAATACTTTTATTATCTTATTTTAGAAATAGAGAAATTTTAACTTCCTTTGAAACATACTACAGTAGAATGGAAAGTATAATCTGATATACTGAAAGTATATATATATATATAATCTGAAAGTATAATCAGATCTCATCAGATGAAATTTTTATTATAATGCTATTATATCTGCTATTCATGAATGAGGGTGTGATGAATTTGTGGGATTAAGAGATATCTGAAATGGAAGATTGAATATTTCTTAGCAATGTTATAATGATGAATATATTGAGTAAGATCTCTGATATTACTTTCTCTTGAAAAAAAAAAAGAAGAGTTAGAAGGGGTCTGATTGAGGTGTTTAAGATTGTTAAGGGAACTGATAGTATTGAAGCATCATGATGAGATTAATGATGAGAATGGTAGTACTAGAAGACACAAAAATTAATTTTTACAGGATAGGAGTCATCTTCAGCTAAGAAGATTTGATTTTATAGAAGGAGGTTGGAATTTAGAATGGGTCACCTTTGGTTGTAGTTATGCAGTTAAATATTTGAATGATAAGGACTGGCTATGAGTGTTTTATTTTATAGTTTAGTTTAGTGGATGGAATAGCTTAGATGGACCAACAGGTCCCTTGTTGTCCTTAAATTATATATATATATATATATAGTCATGAAGGGCATTTTCAACAAAAAATGTTCCTGTAAATGAGTTTTTCTAAATATCTTTCAAAAAATGTTTTTACATTATGATCATGTGATTTAAGTAAGCATAACAAAAAGTTGGATGGGGTCTCTTTTGACTTTAAGTGTTGTATCTATTCCAGTCTTTTTTTTCCTCTTGTGGATAAACTATTTGTTTTGACTTTTATAGAGGTAGTAATCAGTATTGAGTAACTTTCAAAGTTATGGATTAAAAGTTTAGTTGTTAATTGATAAGAAAATTGCATTTTTATTTTTATTAACATCTGTGAGCAAAAAAGTTTGTATAGAGGTATCACACTTTATGTCACAAAATTTCCTATTTCATTCAATACTGCTATATTGAACATCAACCATTCTGTTCTACTAGTCAGTAGCACTTATATTAATACAAGAGTCAGTAAAGCTCTATATGATATCAATGGTTTAAACATCAACTCTGGCAAAAGATACAAATCTGAAACTCTACTGCTCTTCAGTTTCTTGACATGTCTTGCTTTATGCAGATTTCTGAGGTGATTCACAGTGTCAGATTATGCAATATTAAAAGACAAATTTGTCATTTTTTAATTAAGAAGAATTAAGTACCTGTTATCCAATGTGGCAGAGTAAACCACATGACTTTGATATCAGTGCAAGACTTCTATACAACACACATTGTACAAGTTTTTTTGTAATTATTTATTACAGGGTCAACAAACGTATCTGACTATCTTAAACATTCATAGCCACACTTGTGACCTTACAAACTTGGATGAAAACATCCTTAGGGCTCTCTTCAAGTGTAAGTTTGTTTACATTTTCTTCTTTTTTTTTTACTATGCAGACAAACACACACAGCTATTTAGATAAGCTATTTCAGATTTGATGTTCAAAACTATTAAAACAATTTACTGAATAACACCATAAAATTAGCAGCCCCAACCTATCTCTATTTAAACTATGGGAGATGTGTGTATATTGATTTTGGATAATACATTACTGTGGAATGCAAAGTACAGTTAGGAATAGTAATTCACTGCATTAAGGTTAATAGTAAAGCATGTTAGACTTTCCTTCTTGAGACAACTTGTGTATATGTGTAGAAGAAAAAAGCGGTTTATGAGGTTGAATGGAAAGGCAACTACGGGCTTAATTTTCTAGGAGTATTATATTTGTATACGTGGAGTTGTATACAAAAGGAACTACACATTTTACTAGGAGCAGTATGTTCATATGTATGGGGTTGAATAGAAAGGAACTTGCCACTACTACTGGATAAAGTATGACTGCCTGCACTGTTATGGGCTTCATAATGGTGTGACTCTTTCTGAATGGTTTGATGACAACCAGTAACAATTGAAATTATCAGAATTTGACTGTACACCACTGCATTTCATCTTCACATAATAAAGGGGTAGCATTATTTGCCTTTTATAACCTTTTTCTTCCTCATTTCTAATACAGTATGTATATATGTATACATAGATGGGCAGATTATATTTGTATGAATTGTGGGATAGATGAGGAAATGAATGTGTGCCACCATTTTTTGTATGGTTCAGTGACAGGGAGACGTGTAATGCATAAAATTTAACATCAACTGATTTCACTTAAACATTACTAGTTGCTTTAACTCAAGTTTAACTCTTAGCAATGTTAGCATTTTATGATCCATCAACAAGACTTTTTTTTTTACACTTAAACTGCTGCATCAATCTTTAGTTGCATCTTTTGTTAATTCCTCGGTTGCTCAAAACAGTAAATTCAAATGCCATAAAGAACACTTAAATATTTAATTTATATTTATAGACTAATAAAAGTAAATTGGGTTTTAAAAAACAACTAATTTAACCATAAGAAACTGTATTTTATGTGTTCAGAGTGTAAAATGTATTGATCTTTCTATGTGTACCTATGTAGCAATAATTTCTGTCCATATACAGCTCAGCAGTCTGAAGTGACAAAATGGTATGAACAAATGGAGAAAGACCTCCATCTCACCATTGATTGGAACAGTCCTCAAGTAGCATTAAATGAAGTGTTTGCAAAAGATCTTACCAATAAATTCAAGGTATTGTTGAAAAACTATTCTGATTTTACAAAGCTTTTCAATAGTTTTGTAGGATAGTATCTGGGAATACCATTATGATAAAATTCCTTGATATTGATGACTTCTTGTATTGCATAAATTTTGTATCTTTTAAATGAGTTTTGTTTGATTTTTGTCTAAAAGAAAAAATGGAAGGGAATCATAATTAAACTGTATAAGTTTCAGAATAGGCAACTGGACTTTTAAACAAGTTGGATATTTTTGTTAAGTTGCCTAAAATCTTAACTTTGTATTATGAAGAGTGGTGTAAAGACTGCTTTCGATGATAAAACAGCTTAAAGTGAGATTTAATTATCACATTTGTTTAGTTGTGCAGGTAATTGCTTGCTTGAAAAATCAGTGTTTTAACACAAGTAAATTCACATCAAAAGACACTGTGTTGAATTAATTTTTGTTGGTAAGGATAACTCTGCTATATTGTTACTTTAGTGAAATTTTCTCAAAAATAATGTGTCTGACAACATGTGAAGAATTTGAAGAGCATTATGTCATAAAGCAGATTTTTTTATCTTTACCTTGGCCATTAATAATTACTATTTAGGAACTGGTGACTGGCCTTTCACACAGATTGAGTAGTTTGTGTTAAGAAGTGGTTGATAAGTAGCAAACTTGGTTAACTAAGAGAAACAATAGAGTTTAGATGTGTAAACAGACAACTTTTGGTACTTCACTATTAGTTTTGATTTTTCAGTCTGATTTTGATATGTATTATATCTTAATGACATGTAAACTTAGCCACACTTCAGCTAAAAGAAGTGTTGTGTATCGAAAGCATTATGTGGTGAAATTTTATTTCAGGTTTCCAAAGAAATATTTGAACAGGCATTACTTCGTCCAGATCGTGAAAGATTTGTAAATCTCTTCTTGAATGAAGGTTTCAAGCTTCACAAGTATTTAACACCCAAGCGACTCAGGAGTTTGTTTCTTCGAGTTCAGGATCAGGAGTTCTTCCAATCTGTCTGTTGGGAAGGAGTTCTTGGTCATGGAATGGTAAGATCATGTATGCTTAAACAACACCTTATTTAAACAGAGAAACTTTTAAGAAAAAATTAGATTGTGAGAAATAGATTTTTCACTAGCCATTGGTTTTAAACAAATATTAAGCCCAAGAAACTGGCTCCTTAAACAATATTCTTTTCAGATTCATCTCAGAAATAAATAAATATATATATATATAATGAAATAAACAGCTTCAATACTATTATTTACATTAATTGTTAATAGTGATGCATATCTGCTTGTTCGATAATTTCCGGTAGAAATTCTTTCCGAGGAACTTCAGTGATACAAGTCATTTCTTGATTAAACCAGTTTATTCTTCCTTGATACAAACTTTTAGTACATAGTAATTCCACAGTCAATATGTTTCTCATCACTTTAAACTTGACAACTTTTATAATACACCCTATAAATCACAGTGATTCACAATCTTGATAACTTTGCTCTCTACGAGTGCAAAACACACACTTTACTTACCGTAACTACTGTTTGCTTCATTAATTATCTATCTATCACTGGCTTCTCTGCCAGGCTTATATACTAACAAAGAGGCTTCAACAAAATTCGAGGAGTTCCCTGATAATTCAAGAAACTCAGTCATGCACGTGCGAACTGCATCATGTGACTTCCACTGTCCTAACAATAGGTAATTAAAATCAGCACTATAAAACAATAATGAATTTAATGCTTATTTTATATATATAAATACATATATTCTGAAAAGTCTATCTCTTATTTAGCTGGTAAAGATTGGAAAAAACTTCCTTGAAGAAGACTTGAACTGGCTTATTGAGACAGCAACTGGTTTTCCAAAATTTGTTTGTTCTCAGGAACTTTCTGTAAATGCTGTAGGCATGTACACTGTTAGTCCTGCTGCAGCTGAGAGGAAAGCCTTGACTCTTCTGACAATGTGGGCAATCTTCACAAACCGAATAACACTTGCAGAAACTTTATGGCAGAACTCGGACCAACCTATCCATTTGGCTCTTGTTATTTCTAAGATGTGTAATGAACTGAAAAATTACACTTCAGAATCAGGCTACAAATTAGAAATGAAAAAAACAAGGAGGTAAAGAGTTACTGGTTTTAATGTATGTATTTTTCCATAAAAATTTGGGTTAGGTGCAAATTTATACATAAAAACTTTCTGGATATATAAATCAATAATGGATGTTTTTTTTTGTATCATTTTGATTTAAAGTGAAATATTTCTGTTAATTTGGCCAATTTGAAATTTTGTAAAGCATTTAAAACTGTTAATTTTGTTCAATAATTACCATTTTGTGTTTTGAAACATTTGTTATAATCTAGTTCAGAAAGATACACAGTACTCTGTTTCTAGTTTTTAATACTATATTCATCCATTCCTCTGTTTTAGTATGAAAACTAGCTTTGTATTAAAATCTTAGCATATATTTTCTGCATATTTAGTGAAGTAGTGCATCTACAAAAGGTTTTTGGAAGGTTATAAATAATAAGGTCAGATCACTTGAAGCTCGTTATAAGGAAAGGAAATCTACTATTTACTTTAAATAAAAGTCAATGACAGAATTTTGAGTGGATTATTTTATTTTGGAACTTTATAACAACATTTAAAAAACTTGTAGTCATCTTCAGGTGAACTGATGTCTATATGTATGAGATATTAGAAAGTTGCATGAGCATTTTGTTTCTACTTAGAAAAATATAGGGTGACACCTGTGTTTTGATTTAAATTAGGTTTTAGTTCACAAATAATTAATGCTTCTTTTATTTTTTTCTATTAATGTTGTTCTCATTACATAAGATTTTAACATTGCTAATATTGATTGCATTTTTATTTGTTGTTCTGTGAAACAATAATATTAACAACAAAAATATTATGTAAGGAAAACAACACTAATAGAAGAAAAATAAAAGAAGCTTTGGTTTTTCATGAGCTATAACCTAGTTTAAATCGAAACACAGATGTTAACCATTTTTTTCTAAATTGGAACAAAATGCTTACACAGTTTTCTAATATTTTGTACAATAGATGGCAGTTTATTGGATGATGACCATTAGTGATGACCAACAATAATAAAATAATCCACTCCAAAAGCTGTGTCTCTAGACTTTCATCATTCGAAGTTGTTGCCCATTTTTTTTCACCAATTAGTAGGTGGTACTGCTTGTAAAATGTGTAATTCATGTACTGAAAATGTTTGATTTGATTATTCCAAAACATACTTACCTCCCCTAACACTATAACTCCCCTAAGTTGTTGCCCATTTTTTTTCACCAATTAGTAGGTGGTACTGCTTGTAAAATGTGTAATTCATGTACTGAAAATGTTTGATTTGATTATTCCAAAACATACTTACCTCCCCTAACACTACAGCTATTACTCAACTGCCAGGGTTTCTTCCTTTGTCCATCTAAGCATTGATCTGACTTTTTCTCGTTTGCTCCAGTCTTTTATACCCCAATTAAATGCTCTTGGTAATATTTGTCTCATGACACTCTCCACCTATGTCAGTGTGCCCTCTATCCTGGTACTGTACATAAGCACTTCATTCAGATAGTGTTACCACTTTTTCTCAACAAAGCATCGCTAATGGGTTTCCCAGTGCTACAATTGTTCAGATATATTTTAAGCATTTTCTGTGTTATCTAATTGATTTTTGTTAAAAAAAACTTTCTGATTGGCAGGCCGATTTACGGTATGAATTTCTGGATTATTATTTCTTGCACAAAGGCATATCAGATCTCGCCTATCCCACCTCTGATATCTAGCATTATCTGGTTACTGCTGGCACCATCTCATCAATTGCCAAAACATCGCACCTTAATTATACTTTCAGAAACAACCAAGGCAGGCTTCATTCTAAGAGCTGAGACATCTATTCTTGATCCAATATAATATATCATCAGTCTGGGTTTTTTTTCACCACGTCTCTCAGTCGGGCTCAGCTGACTCCCATCTGGCTCCATGCTACGGAACAGCAAGCCCAACTCTTACTCACCTCTCTTTCTCCCACTGCACAGATGGTTCTTTCTCTTTTGGGAATATGGGCATCACTCGGATCCCTCATGCCCTAGGGACAAGAGCACAAGATGCTTTCAATGGTCTTTATGCGACCATTGATTCACTGGATTCCCCAGTTTTCTTAGACAGGATCATTCTTTCAACTTGAGGAGTTAAGTTGAGACACTACTAAGATATAGGTTTCCCTGCCACCACCTCATCCACAGTTCTATCTCTTCACGAATGCCTCACTTCAGGGATGGGGTGAATATACCAACAGTCAGGAATTCCAGGGTATATGCACAGATGACAAGGCTTCCCTACACAATGTTTTAGCCCTTCCTGCTCTTCAAAAGACAATGCCTTATGGTCTGGGCTTATTAAGGGGAAACTCGTCAGGCTTCACTTTGACAATTCTGTGGTGGTGTCTTGCATTTCTCATAAAGGAGGCACTTGGTCCAGGGCTCCTTGTATTCGATTCTTCGACTTCCTTTCTCGGGACCACTCCTATCATATCACCCTGCTTGCTTGCCATGTTCCATGGGTAATGACTGTGGTAGCAGATCAGTTGTCTCAACCCAAATAAATTCTGCCAACAGAATAGATGCTGCATCACAAGGTTCTGCTGGATTGGCTCTCATTTTGCAACTCTGATTGGTGGGTTGGCCACTCATTGGAACAGACTTCTTCAGGTTGAGGAGAAGGTTTGTCCATTTTGGTGTTGCTATATATAGTGATGATAAATCATGTGAAATACCACCCACAGTACATGAATTAAGTTCCAGTTGAAGAACATACCTGTTCTGGATGGAATGCAGTTCCCCCACTAGGGTGCCAATCCTCTATCGACACACCCTTGATCTATGCAGATGCTTTCTGTATGGATAATACCCTCACCAGCTCCTCCACCTCCTCAATGTGGGATTCTAGCTTTAATGTGAGAAGAGGTGTGTATGTTTTGAAAGTTAACATTTTCTTAAATCTAAAATGTATTTTCAATAATTCTGACCTCCTGTCACAGTCTCCCACCCTTCCTCCCCACTAAGAGCCAGTGTTAGAGACTGTGGATTGAGTCAGTCTCAAAAAAGTGATAACATTATCTGAATGAGGTGCTTTTATAAAGTACAAGATAGAGAGCACATTGACGAAGTTGGAGAGTGTCACAAGACAAATTTTGCCAGGGAAATTAAGTGGGGGGGGGGGTATAAAAAAAACTGGAGCAAGTGAGAAAAAGTCAGACCAATGTTTAGATGGGCAAAGGAAGAAACCTTGGCAGTTGAGTAATAGCTATAGTGTGAGAAGAGGTAAGTATTATTGGAAATACATTTTTCATTTAAGAAAATGTTAAGATTTCTATATGTAGTATGCAATCTGAAAAAAGTAATCATAAATAAGTATGAATAAGAGAACATGCATTAATTGATATTTGAGTAATACTTTACAGTTCTTTGGTGTTTAATTACTCTGTGATAATCTATGAAATAAACTGAATAAAGAACTTATTAACAATAGCAATTAGTTTATTTAAGGGAATCAACGGATCTAAACAATGGCAAAGATGATGATGATGGAGCTCTCCAGATGTATTCTTGTCCAATTTGTTTTACATATCTAAAGACAAACACTCACAATATAGCAAGTTTTTAAATCAGTTGTGTTTTTTTGATGTGCTGTTGTTGATCCAACAGAAACCTTGAAATATTTAGCTGAAATAAACTTAGCCGTAAATTTGTCAGACTTCAGTTACTGTATACTGCTTTATGTTGTATGCTTTATGCTGTATGTAAATAATGTTAGCATTTAAATGAAGAAAGTTACATGGTCAAATTCAGCATTTCTGAACCTTTTCAGTAGTACGGACTGGTTTGCTGCTTCCAAAAACTGTCCCTGATTAATAAAACGAGGGTAAAATGAAAAACCATTGTGATTTATATATCAATATTCTATCAGTTTCTGTTTGTGTTGGTGAAATCCCACAGACTAACAAGGTGGTTGTGATGAACAGGTACCAGTTCATGAATCAGTGGCTGAGAAACACTGCTATAAATGATTCTCAACATGTTTTATGTGTACTAGTTTTTCACACCTTATTTTGCTCAGATGAGGACCTGTGTATTGATCAACTATATTTATGATTTCCACGTGTTATCATGGCCTTTACTTTAAAGATTTAAATTTCTTTTCTAAAACTTTTAACACATGAATCTTAACTCACTTTAACAAATTTGTACATGGTGGCTCATCTACTACCAACTTAAATGGAACACTTAATTATCATTTACACAAAAAAGTTCATCGTGAATTATTAGCGTAATTTTTCAGTATTTTCCCACATATGATTGATAATCTGCTTTTTCCTTTTAGCTCTTTTGGACTGATACATTATTTATTAATTTTGAACAGTTACAATTTCCACCACAGAATGACCTCTTTGTTTTTCAAAATGTTGTTCATTTTATTGTATCTCTTTCAGAAAGTTTTCTGAATTGGCGATTGGAGTTCTAGACATTAGTTATAAGGAAGCAACTTGTAGATGTTTCGATGTTCTCAGTGAAGAGAGCCCAGATTGGTCGTATAAGACAGCAGTGGAACTTGCAGCAGATGCCCAAAATCGGACATTTTTATCTCATCCTTGTTGTCAGAAGTGGCTGACATGGTTGTTTTTGGGCAACATTCGTATCAGGGAACTTACCTGGGGTTTCATGAAGCTGCCACAGTGGTTTAAGGTAATATTTTCATAGCTTCTATAGCTGCTATGGATGCTGATACTTAGAGAACTTAAAGTATCTCATATAGTTGCATAAATTAAGTTGAATTTAATAGGTTCAGGCTTTAAGCAGCAAATGTAAAGTAAAACTAAAGTGTTCAGTGTTTTTAATTATTGATATTTTACCTTGAACTGTGTCTTACTGAACTTTATTGTGTTTTTGCCTATATGTTATACAGTGGTCTTTGGAAGTACTATAACTCCCTAGAAATGTAATGTAGTATTTTATGTATAATCAATACATAATATTGATATTTCCAGCTTGCTTTCTCTATAATTAATCAATTTACAAGATTTGAGATTTACAATCTTTTTATGTTGAACACATTAATTCTTAGAGAATTCAACCATTTGCATTCCAATGTACACTCCTGTGGTAGAGGTATGGATTTCGGGGTGAGCTGGGTTCAAATTCTTAAATTTGTATGGTACCACAATATATCCCCCCCCCTTCTTCAAGCTTTGATGTGTTACAAGAGTGAAAGTTTGTTTGGTAGAACTGTTGTTGCTGCAATGTTGATGTGTAACGATACAGTATAACATTCCTTTTGGAAATGTTAACATGATTCTAAGTAAGACATGCGTATGAGTGCATATCAAAGTATGTCACATGATGCAAAGATGTAGAGTAAGAAGGAAGAGGTGTGTGTACGTGTATGAGATGCTTTTATGGCTTTTATCCTTTTTATTTCATATAATTAGTGGGTGTACGTGTATGAGATGCTTTTATGGCTTTTATCCTTTTTATTTCATACAGTTTAAAGCAGTCTTAGTTATGTAAATATCTTGGTAGGTTTGCATATTGTTATGTGTTTTACATGCTGAAAAATTAAAAAAATAACATCTTATTGAAGTCTAAAGTTTTATGCACAATATTGTATGTTTATTTTGTATTTCTTTCTGTAGATTATAGTTTTATTCAGTTTTTATACTGAGAATATCAATAATTTAAAGTTGGACCTCTAAAGCTAGTCATTGTATAAAATGTCACTGTTTTAGTTCTAAATTTTCTTGGTGCTTTAAACTTGTATATGGAACAGTTTTCTTTCAAAAAGCTGCAGGATAGATTTTTTTTTAAAACAGATATGTATTGTAGAGATTCAAACATACAGCTTTTAAAAAGAAATTTTGTGCTATTCAGGATATGAAACAAATTTATACCTACTAAAATTCATAAAGTCATATTTTAAACATATCATATCTCTGAACAACTGATGTACCTCTAATACAACTTTAAATTCACTTCAAAATAGTAGGTCAAGAAAGTAATTAGTTTAACATGCTATAACTTAATATTAGCAGTTATAACCAATACATGTGAATATCATGCATAGGAAAACCTTTAATCTCGGTTACAATTGTTAGGACTCAAAATGTACCATTTTGAGAGCAGAATCAAGCTTATTTCTTTACATATTTAAGGCATACAAATTCCAATATAATTTTGGTATTCATACCTCATCCTTCAAAAATATTTCTGCACATCAAATGAATACAAAATAAAATAGATGACATGGCTAGGTAGTTAGGGTGTTTGACTAGCAATATGTGGGTTGTAGGTTCGAATCACTGTCACCAAACATGCTCGTCCTTTCAGCCATGGGGACATTATAATGTGATGATCATTCCCACTATTCATTGGTAAAAGAGTAGTACAAGAGTTAATGGAGGGTGATGTTGACTAGCTGCCTTCCTTCTATTTTGTCGGTGCTAAATTCACACTTGTTGTTTCACAGTGCATACTGGGTAAAGTGGGTTGGCTGAATTTGCAACAAAATAACTCCAGTACCAAATTTTAAGGAAAGTGTATGTACATGCATTTGTAAAGATAAATAGTTATAATTAAATGTGTGACATCGTACAAAGGTATTGTGTTATTTTTAGAGGTTTCTATTACTCTGGTGGATAGCACTGAATTCGTTTAGGGTCAGATACAGAATACTGGTTGGGCTGTCTTCTGACAATTATGTTTTTGTCAGCAGGCTCCTGAGAAGAACAAATAGAATACACTAGATGTAAAATCTAGACAGAAGTACGTCCATTGCCAAGGTTGATATACAATTACACAATAACTTGCAAAAAATACTAAATTTATCAAAATTGATGCTAAAATATCTGTTTAACAGCTCAATTTCCCTCTTAATCTTGCTTTATAACAAGCTCAGTTTTTAGTAAATTATATTGTTTTAAAGCAACTACTCTCTCATAAAATTTTGTTAAGTAAAACTAAAAATATTGGCTTGTTCTAAAACTTTAAAGTTGAACCAGTTTAGATTAAACTAAAATACATTTTTCTATGCTTGAATTAGGCATACCTTTAAAAAGTAATATTGGATCCTTTTTAAAATCTATTTATACAATTTATAGCTGCATAAAAATGCATCATTTGTCATGTCTAAAGTGTCTCAGACATATAACTAATAAATAAATATTTATCTGCCACTCCACTAATAAGTAATAACTTTTATATGAATAATAAATATTCATCCTCCACTACACTAAGAAATAATAAATTTGATATGAACAACAGGTATTTATCTGGTACTAAACTAATAAATAATAACTTTTACATGAAAATATATTCATTTTTCCACTCCACTAATCAATAATAACTTTATATGAATAATAAATATTTATCTGCCACTCCATACATGCTAAGACACAATATTTATAATGTGTTTAATATGCAATTGCTATGTCTTTTGCAACAATTAGTTGTGGATGCCACATGATCGACTGACTAAATTTGGTGGTAATGTAACCAGGGAATTAGTTGTTTATGCATTATAGGTCTGTCAAGTCATACATTGTTTATTGCAAAATGTACATTGTGGAAACCCCAATTATCGCTCAGCACTAGTGATAAAATTTATCATCTGATCCTATCCCAAAAAATAGCACAGAAATACAAAACTGAGAAAAAATAATGGACTGATTCAAAGTTATGATCTTCATTGTAGGTAATTTCAATAAGAATGGAGTGGCTGATAAATAGATAATTAGATATTTAATGGATAGTTGTATATTTTTGGATTAGTAAAGGTGGTGTGTTGAAGTAGCTGACTTTGAAATTCGTACAAACAGGAAGCCTATTAAACTTATTCGAATACTAATCTATCAAAGTCTAGTTATAAAAATACTTTGGGACTAAATGAAACAAAATTAATGTCTTGAGATTGTATATAGCACTGACAAATGACAATGATAAATATGACAATATACTATCACACAATGTGCTTGTTGTCAATTTGCATGGAACTATATATACGCTTTGTTCAGAATTTTTTTGTCAAATATTAGATAAGGAATTTACAAATTTTTAATTAACATATTCAAGAAAGATGACAAACAATTTCAGAGAAATGTTTTTTGTTTTTTAATACTTTACCCGATGTTCTTGCTTACTCCTTTTTCGAATGTCTTTAAGCATCACAGGTTACAAAACTTATTTCAAATAATAGTGTATTGAAAGAATACATTATAGACTTAGACTACAACAATATAACAGAATTGTGGACATTGCTAAAATTACTGTTTAACAAGTTAGAGTTAAAGATCACAATAATAAATAATAAAATCAAAGTAAAATAAAATGAACTTTATATAAGATAATAATAGTTTTACAGGGGCTAGGTATTGTATCTGTTGATAGATGGATGTTTGGATTGAATCAGAAAAGCTTAAATTTCCTGTCAGAAAGCTATCACAATTCTCGAAAATGTTGATATGATATGGTTTCTCATCAATTATGCCATGTGAATTGATGTAATATTCTGAAGTGACTTTTATTACCAAGGTTAGCAGTGGCATGACTGTATTGAATGACTATAATTTTCTGTACATTTAAGTTCAGTAATAGGATAACATAATCTGAATCTGTAATTTTTACAATTACTCAATAGACAGGTTAATTTTTATACTTAATTTACCCTTTATGATGGAAGAGTCACATTGAATTGTTATTTAGTTTTACTTTTGAATTAACCTTATATTACATAATTTGTTTTCAACTTAAATGCAACATTGACTTCATAACTTTAAACGTATTCAAGAAGTAATAATTTTGTATTTGTAAACTAACTGCTTAGTGTATTGACTTATAATGTTATTAAACTTTTTAAAAATAATATGTAAAACATTTGTAACAATAGTATTTTTATTATTTTTTGAATCAGGTATTGATGTGTGCATTCTTCATCTTTCCCATGTATTTTTGGGTGAGGTTTAAAACTGATTCAGAAGATTGTGAGGTACTCTCTGGTGATTATGGTAATATAGTTTTCTTTGTTATAGCACATATGTATGTTCTAGAAACAAAGTTAAATGGTAGTTATTAAAACCACTGTCAAACTTTGTCAAATAAATTAGATCTAGGCATATTTGCTCTGATTATTTCCAGATTCTAAATATAAATGGTAACACCAAAAATGCATATCACTTTTATAAATATTACTAATTAGGTATTGTGCACTAACTTTAAATTTTCTGTGTTTACGAAATTCTGTAAGTACTATTGAAAATTGAAGCATAGTTGGTGTGAAGATATAATTTGTGTTGTTGGCCTGAACTGTAATAATTCATATTTTTAGCTATAGATTCAGACAATGAGAAGGAAGGTGAGTCTGAAGGGCTGATTGATCGACGTTCCCAATACAGAACAAACACAACTCGTGTTGGGTCTATAATCAGGTAAATAAAGTACATATAGATAAATATCAAATCTTATTACTCTGTTTTCCAAACTATTAATTACATATCTTTGCCAAGTAAAAAGAAATGTTCACATTAACCCTATGAAGATAGGCTCAGTTGATTTAATTGGTCTTGCAACCAACATCTAACCATAAATTATACATACCGTAACTGAGTATATTAAGTGTATTGTCTTAGAATATAGCAAGCTCTTGGTAAATATTACTAAAGAAACAAGTTTTTTTAGTAAAGTATTTTTACAAAAGATTTGTCTGTGAATTTATGAAGTTTAGTCTGAGTGGATGATGATTTTCATGATGAGAATGAAAATATTTATTTTCATCTTACAGTTTTCACATTTTATTTGGTTAGCCTCTAAAACTTCCTAAATGAATACCAAAAGTTGTTTTTAGTAAGACTTTATATGTTATATCTTATTTTCTCTAACTGTAGCAAAATTAGAAAAATGTGAAATAAAATCAAAAATACCTCTTTTTCTTTTGCTAGGATAACAGCAGACTGTAGCAGACAATTACAATTATTTCTCCTGAACAGCTTCAGGTTTTTAACAGTGTCACATCTTCTTTCGTTGAGTTTTATTGTTCTTTCAACCATGTCTAATTGGTGTAACAAAAGCACTAAATCACCATATGAGACCTTAGGGTAAACAAATTATTGAATTACCTTGTACAGTGGTAGCCCGTGTGAGTTTCTCAAGGAGAAACTTTCTATCTAAGTTTTCTTATCTAACCTAATAATTTTCTAATACTGATATTTTAGTTACATTTGTTAAAAATTATATATTAATAAGTTAAAATATCTTTAAAAACCTGAAATTTAGCACTTTCTTTAGCCTTGAGGCATTTTGTGTGGTAAGCCTGTCATTTCCAACTAGATTGGTTGTGAAAAATTAATTCATGTAGCTTTCAAATATGAATTATAGAACACCAAAATATACCAGGCACTAGAATAAGTCATCCTAAAAGTGCTATAATTTAACTGATGTTTTGACTAATCTCTAAATAGATTAAATATTTCCATTACTGCTCAAAGCAATATTTTAGTCTAAGCAAACCTGAGGCCTTGCATGGCCTGATTGTTAAGATGCTTGACTCGCAATCTATTGGTCGTGGGTTTTAATCTCCATCACTGGACATGCTTGCTCTTTTAGCTGTGGAGATGTTATAATGTGACAGTCAATTCAACTGTTTGTTGGTAAAGAGTAGCCCAAGAGTTGGAGATTTGCATGGCACTAGCCTTGAGCTAACTCCACCTAAAAATTGTTTGTAACTTGAATCACACTAGTGCATGATGACATCATGCAATGATAGACCCCCTCCCCACTAGAAGGAGGACAACACAACCTTCTTGCACAGTAACTTCTCTTTAAGTACTGAAAAAGCTTCATTTTTGAAATTATTAATGAAGTGCATGTAATTTGCAATAGTTTACAAAACTTATCTTTTGATTAAAACAAAATAATACTTTTTTCTTGCTTACCCATCATGAATTCTGAAATGAAGATAACTTCTGCTTCATCCTGTGATAGTGGCAATTTCCTCATACTGGACCTGTGTCTGTTGTGGCTACTGGGGACTAGTGGTCTGTGGATGATGTGATAGTCATTGTACAATTTGTTGTGGGTTCCTTTATGCACACTAACCTTCTCCTTCCATCCATTCTGCTGATGTTCCTTCTTCCCAGTTTGAATGTGGTCGGGATGATTTTGCCAGGCTATCATCCTCAACAGGTTTGCTTTAGTCTCAGCATTGTCTTTGTGGGAAAATCCTCACTACTTTAAAACCTTTTTTGACATTATTTTACAGGTATGTTTTGTTCTTTCTTTTTTCCTTTATCTTTTTGTTTCTTCATTTGTTTTATTACATGAAACCCATACTCAGTATTAGTTTTTCTTCCTTCCTTCACCTGACATTAAAGTCCATGCAGATTTGTTTCTCAAACACCTCCACATCCATACTAACACACCTCATCCTCCTTGTCTACTTAACTGTTTTGTCCTGGCTAACATCCATTCTTTCTGTTTCTTGATTCACAGTCTTTGGAATATTTTTTACCTAGACCCATAAACTTTTACTTCACTTTTTAGATTCCAAGTGTCACATCTTCATCTTTTACTTACTACCCTCCTGTATTACCTTTTATCACTTCACCTTATGTCTGAGGCACTTCATTGTGTTCAGGTGAGGTTTTCTGGAGATGTTTATTTTTTTCTTTTCACTATATTAGCCTATACTTCTCCTGCTTTATCTCTCCTTACTTGGTTCTTCTGCTGTTGGGACAGAAAGCTGTCCTTGATAATGTATGCCTCAATTATGCTGGTTTTTGTGATTGCTGTTGGGCTTCATTTCTTTTCCTTGAGGTCTTTGGAGTGTTTCTGATTTGCTGGAGACCAAGGCTGGAGTTGCCCATCATTAGTCCCCATTGTTTATTACAGTTTTTTGTCTTTCTCAGCTTCACCTTTCTGTTCCTTTGCCTGCCAAATCAATTTCTCCCTTTCCTGTTCCAGCTTCCTGGTCTTATTTGACTTAGATCTCTTGTCCAAGACACCATCAAAAGAATATTTACCACAACACCTTATTGTTATGCTCATCTTTTTTTTGTAGTGCCCAAGAAGATTAGAGTATGACACTCCATTTTTTGATCTGTCCTCTCTTAACTAGTTTCTTTTCTTCCCATAGTTCTATGTGGAGGATTTCTTTTCTCTACAGCAGTTCTTTTCACCTGGGCTGTCGATGTCCAAGCTGGATGTTTCAAACACCTTTTTCTACCTCTCCTCTCATAGGTAGTTCCTTTGATATGCAACACTTGATGGTGCTTCTTTGGCTGGCACAGCCTTGATTTTCTCTGCATTCTCTGCCCCATTTCCATACTCTTTTGCTCCAATCACATTTTTCTATCACTCAGGGGTGTTGCCCTTTCATCTTCACTTGTGGGATTTGTCCAGTCTCATGCCTGCAAGACTGCAATCTCCTATTGTTTAGCTTTTTTACTATCCCATTTCTGTCATTCTTTAACTCTGTTTGCCTATCAACAGAAGTGCTTGGTTAGTCAACATTGGTCCATCAGCCTCTCTCTTCCTACAGGCCATCCTCTTGTGGCCTACGTTTCAGCTTTTTTCACTTGGTTGTTTGCCCATGGATTGCTGGTTTCCATTATTGCTGGTTCTAAGGCAGTTTTATCAACTACATTTCACCTTTCCTTTTACTGTTCAGCTTATCTTCTGTATTTTCAGTTACTTCATCTGGGATCTAAACATCCACCCACGTGTTTGTCGTGCGTGGCGACCCATGAAGGGGAGGAGAGGATCCTGGTGGGTGAGTGGTGTCTGGGGCCCTGCAACACACCACTTTGGCTTTGAATTCCTGTAGATGGGTGCCCCCCCCCAGGGTCAATTGGCTGGTCCAGTGTTGGGCATTCTCAACGGGTGTTGTGGACATTGTGTCTGATGCTGGTGTTTGGGTATAGTGCTCACGAAACCCTGGCATTGCTGCAGTGTCCTTGTTTGACATTGTAGTGCATCCCCTCGTAGGACTCATGGCGGGTGGGTCAGTGGGCACTGAATCTTTCTCCTTAATTATGGATCCCCCAATCCAAATAAGAAAAATGTTAAACTCTGCTAATCAGTAAACGACCATGCCTAGAAGACTGAACAGCAGTCTCCATCACAAAGTACACCTGTACCTCACTTCGTGATCCTGCATTCACTGTCTGATAAATCTTTAGGTCAAACATCTCCCTTTTTTATTCAGAAGGGCTTAGAGGGGCTTGCTGGCTCTCCAAAGTCAGTTAAGAAGCTCCATTCTGGAGACATCTTGGTTGAAACATCCACTCCTAAGCACAGTGAACTCCCCTTGTATTCAGAGGCCATCAGGGATATATCAATTGAGGTTACTCCCCACGCTTCCTTGAATTAGAAACCAGCAAGGATCTCTGACTCGGGGATAGACTTCAAGTCCCTCTCAACCCAGCTTAGGAGTTTCAGCTGTTAGAAGGATCTCCACTCGACAAGATGGAATTATGGTGCCGACCTCAGTTCTGATTTTGACATTTTCATCACCACATCCACCTGCCACTGTTAAGGCAGGTTATTTGAACTGTAAGGTATGGCCATATATTCCCAACCCTCTTCGATGTTTTCAATGCCAGTGGTTCGGTCACTCAAAGACATCTTGTCGTGGTTCTGTGATTTGTGCTCGTTGTGGTGGCAAGGACTATGATGCCTACGAGTGTAAACTGGACCCTCACTGTGTTAATTGTAGTTGTTCCCACCCCTCTTACTTTAAGTATTGCCCTAAGTGGGTGGAGGAGAAAGAGGTACAGCATTTGAAGACTATTAATAACATCTCTTATCCTGAGGCTCGGAAGCTATTGTTCCCTACTACATCTAGGACATATGCCACTGCACTATGCTCCACTGCTACAGTGGGAGTGCAGACGGACCTTTCCGTGCCTCCATCTGAGTCTTTTTCATGCCATGTGTAAGAGGTCTTCTGCCCTCCATGGATAATAGAGTTGATAGGTCTATGTCTACTCCAATCTCTGTCCCCACTATTCTTTCTAGTGACTGCCTGGGTCAACCTCCTAGGGCACCAGCCTCTGGTGTCCGTGCAGGTCCTTCTTTGGCCCCTAAAAGCAGGACGATTATTCGATCATGTCCTCAGTCATTAGATTCTCACTCTGTTGACAGAGCTCTGCCCGCTCGATCAAGGGCAGGATCCATGGAGGTCAATCGACCTCCATCTAGTAAAGAAAAATGGCGTGGTCATAAACCGAAGGGTTCTCCACCCTGTTCTCTTAAACCTACATAAAAATGGCCACTTTGATACAGTGAAACTGTCGCGGTTTTTGTTCTTATCTCGGTGACATTAAGGCCTGAGTTTGACTACTATCATCCCGTGTGACTCTCCTTACAGGAAACATTTTTAAACCTGCCGATACAGTCACCTTTCGCCAGTTTCCTTGTACCGGAATGACAG